GTAACTTCCTGTTTCCGTCCATAAATGGAAATATTATGAGATGTACGACGTGTCGGGTTGTGTAACGTGTCGGGTTATTCCTGATTATCATCGTAGGTCGTAGTCCACCCATAATATCGCATATTAAACTCCTATCAAACTCCCTATCTCTAAGAGGTGGTTCACCAGTAGCAATCAAACACATGATAATGCCAAAGAATATACTGTATGTCTGATTTTTGAGTAAATTTGCAAGTATGGAGGACTCCGGTGCAATAAATGGTAAAACACCTCGTGAATTTATTGATTGCAAAAGGCCCAGATCGTATATGAATGGTATATTAGAATTTTGTTAATATTTTGATCCAAATAAGACAAAAGACTACCATTATTAGCATATTGCATAACAATCATGTACTCTTGTGTCACTCCATAAAGGGAAAGGAATAAACCACGTGAAATAAAGTTCTAAATATAAAAAAAAAAACCACGTGAACACTTGGTATGATTTCTGAACTATTAAATATCAATAATCATAAGTACAACTCTCAATTAAATATCAATTTAATTAATGCTATCAATTATTGCTTACCTCTGAAACAAATAATTCTGAAGTCTGATCAAAATTCTTATTATTATATCGTTTTAACACAACAGTTTGTTGCATATCCTTCATTTCAAAATACTTGTCGTATAAACTGTTCCGTAGCCGCCAAACCCGATCTCTTTGATTTCGTAAAAGTCGTTGTACTTCATGTACTTAATATGCCAATCATAAAGTTGTATAAACTTGTCCAATATTGGACGTATCTCATAATAGAAAACCAAATAATATCTCCGAGTGGACGGTTCTTGAGTAATTCCAACTATCCAAATATTATCAGGAGTTAATATCTTTGGGTATTCCAGAGTTAGCTATTTGAATGAACCGTACAATAAATAAAACAAATAATGTTAAAAACCAATTGCATTATTTTTAGACGTGAAATAATTTACCTGATAAAAATCATAGGGCATTACTGATCTGCTTGAGTGTCACTTTTATCAATTTATTTATCACTGGATCTAACCAATCCGTTTTGCATGTGCATCCATGGCGTAATGAGGTCACTTCTCGTACGTTCATCAATTTGGAATACTAATACTCTATCCATTGTAAATATATATACGCATCATCTTCTCTTGTTATATTCCATGATTCCATAATGAATGAATCCAGTGTCTTGTTACCCGTAGTCCAGTCAAGAGATCTCGGTGCTTTACAGCTGAAACAGAATGTTTTTATCTTAGAGTTTAATTCATTGTACATGCCAGACATAATCCATCATCCGCATATCTAGTAACTTTTATTAGACAATACTTTCTCTGCTCTGTATTGTATGTAAATCCGATGGTAACCCAAACATCTGAGGTAAGAATATCTGGAGTTCTGAGGTCTTTATTCAGGGTAAAAATCTGGCTGCTTATCACATAGTTAGTGGAAATGATACATAATAATAAGTTAATAATTATTTAAAGTGTTCGATAAACTTGACGCATAAGTAAATAGTTTACCTCGGCATAAAATAATAATAATAATAATAAATCACGTGTCTCATCTGTTATCTCAAGTGGAATCAATTTAATTCGTGCATGAGTAGGTAGACCATACAAGTGCCACTTGCATATCCCCATCATAAATACAATCGAATGGAATCCATTCCAAATAGACATCATTTGGTGAATTTGTTTGTAATTGGGATTTCTTGATAAACCCGTCGAGTTGATTGTTGTTGCTAGTACATCCATCGGATAATTCTTTATGACCGCAAATGCACCACACAGGACTACACCGGAGTATTCCACATGCAGTGCAGAACCCATAGCTGGAATAACAATAATAAAAGCATCTCTTAGCAACCATGTAATAGTTATCTTCATGTTTGGTAAACCCAATTATGAGTCCGTTGCGTTGTTCAAGCCATTTGGAATATCGTCTGAACCGACCAGCATTCTTATTGTATTGTGTGCCGGAAGTGAGTATATGCTTGCGAACTCGTTCACAAAGGCTGGCGTGCATATTTCGTCACCCAAGAAGTATAAGCATTATCCGCGTTTGCGTAGCAGATGTCGCCAATTGGGGTTGGCTCTATTGCGCTGATTTTCTCGTAAGAAATCCATGTAAGTCTCAAGTCTGCATTTTTACTTTCCAAAGACGATTCAATCAAATTGTCGATTGCTGGTTTATTTATAAACTCTAGTACTAACGACATAGTAATAGTTAAATTAAAAATTCTTTCCCATGTTACACTAAAATTTGATGTATGGTGGGGGGACACATATACGCATCAAACAAAAATTGATGCATTTCCAACGCCATTTTGTTCTTCTTGACGTTAACAAACTGCGTTTAGAAAATTGACAAATGTTACATGTGGTTTGACATATAACTGTTCAATGTTGGGTTAATTTATATAGTGAGCGGAAATTTGAAACAGCCTTTTCTGGTAAATTCTATCTTAAATTTGGTACATTTCTTAAGGCCTTAACAAAAAAGAAAACCTTGTGTTACATTACCATTGGATAAAGATACTCTTAGAACGAAAAATTTTCGTCTTTAATATTAAATTGTAATAATGGGTAGGCCCTGAAACGATTTTTGAATAAAATTGCTATTGTTGATCATTGACATTTTCAGTAATGATTTCCCCTTGAAAATTGAAACAATTTGATGCGTATATGTGTCCCCCACCATACGAGTCTCATGACAAGAACTAGGATACCATTAGAATAAGAATTTTCTGGGTATATTAATATAATAATTTAGGCATCTTCTATTGCGTTGCTAGTGAAGGTGCGAAAGCAATTTTTTATTACAATTGATCCATGCTGATGAGAGCAATGCAGCTTGAAAAAAAAGCTTTCGTCTGGAGTATAATAATACCGTAATATCATCCTTCAACCGTAAATTGATCGAGCATCCTTTATTTTATCCGGAATACATCAATTGTTAAATGTCAATTGTATGGTCCTGGTTGTTAATAGCAAAATTTACTTTAATAGAAACTTTTTTTTTACAACTTTGATTTTAGCCAGGATCATACTTATTCCCTGCTCCAATTGACTCTTATATACACGTCAATCTCCATTTATTAATCTATATAGCCCAATATCAAGAATAATATGATAACTCACAGTTAATTTACTATTAGATTGTAACTCGATGGCAATGAAAGACAAACTAGTCTACATTCTTACTCTTGACTCGGCCGTGATTATCGTATGGCTAACCGTAATCACCGTTAAATTTATTATGTAAGTTTCAAAATAAGTCAAGATTTTGTTTCCGCTCCCCACGTATTAATCTATGCGAGATTAGTCAGAGACACGGAATGCCAAAATTTTGTTTGCACCAATCTCTCATCTCAAAAACTATTACATCAAGTTTGTAATTCGAATGGTGTCCAACAATAAATAATAAATGACCGTACGTTCCGGAGATATTGCTATCAGCTTAAAAAAACTAGAAAATCCAATTAATGCAGAAATTAAATGCATAGATTTCGTTGGAATTAGGTCGCGTACGTTTAATAATTGCAGATTGTTTACATTTTTGCCCTCGTGACAAATATAGAGCTAAGGGAGTGCCTATTTCAACCTCAATACAGCTCTTGTTCAAATGGTTTACCAAACAGCCCATTCCAGCTGCGTGGCGATATCCAATTTCTTGTACTTTCTTTCCCTAATAACAGATAATCCTGTCTCAGGCTACGCATCACAGAAAAAGCATACTCAAAGCACGTGTCCGATTGAATACCTTGCTCCGATAACAGTGAAGTAAGTTTATTCGCCGTGAGAGTCGCATCGTGCACGTTGTCTATAATCAATCAAATCAATAAAGGTAAGTCCAATGATCGGATTACTCATTCCGGTCCCTACCTTCCGTAACATTACCTCCTTCCATAGCAAATAGTATCAATACTATCAACGCAAGTTTTTCCTCTTTACAAAGACTCAACAAATAGTTGGACATACCGCCGCCAACAATGCGAGGATACCCACCATGTGCTTGAGGTTTCACATAGTCCTCCTCAACATCGGGAGTCTCGAGAGTCTTTATATCAAGTGACGATATGCGAGACTGAACATCGGGCGACAAGTTGTCTGTCGTAAGTATTCGAAAGGAATCACTATCGATGAAGAGTATTAGGTGGATGACAGAAACAACATATTCATCTCTGTTACTTATAGAACAGCGTGAGAGGGGGTATGGGGTGCACGTACTCACCCAGTCAACTGCACATCTCTTCGCTGCTTGGCATCGGCACTAGCCAGTAATATGATTCTCGAAAAGTGACATTCTTTGAAAAAGGTAACCAAGTTGCGTGCATATTGATGCGATTTCCCCTGTAAAAAAGAGCGTGACAGACAATATCGACGGTTTTAGCCATCAAAATCATGTCCTCTTACACAGCAACGTTAGCGATTAATTTCACCTTATGAGCAGGTGCACGCTGCTGTATGACCGTCAATTGCTGGTCGGAAGACTGAAAGACTAGGCAGGGTCAATATGATATTGAAGAATAACGTAACGGAATGCATTGCCAGTAAATCACGGATAGATGCCTTCGACTGAAACAGTAACTCCAGTGCCTTCAGTTGTATCTTCTCGGGCGCCGGAAACGGAGACAATACTGTCGTCTTCGATGAAACCAACTCGCTTAAGGTTTAGTGTTGTAATTAAGAGATCTACTGCCAACTGAGGGACGTTGCCAATTGAAACTGCAGGCTGAGAAAACAAGACTGAATTAGGCTGCGCGTATTGTTATATCACACACGATGTCCTCTCATGTAAATGTAGGCCATGCCATGTCATGCCATGTCATGCCAGGTGCCAGGTGCCATGCGTACCACTATCAAGCAGCTTCCTTTAAAGTTTTCCTTGTTAAACCCACGTTCAGGTACAAAATTATTCATTCTTTGTTTCGACCGACAAGTCTTTCTCACGTCTCCAATTTGTATGTAGATCACGATAATACTGATATATAAATCACCCCCCCAGAAAAGATTCGATTCGAAACAAACACACTCTAAAATCACGCTACTACATACACGATGCTCTGCTATAAACGGATCCTCTTTATAAACCCAATCTTCCTAGTAACCATTCTAATACTGCTTGTCGGCTGCACGCAAGTGTATTCTTCAAAGGGCGACCGAAGTAAAGACTTTGAAAACTGTGTTTCACAGTGTTCATCCTCAACGTGCCCGGAACGTAAAATACCACTCATACGTAGATTGCTTCAATGGTCCTGCGAAAACGAATGCGAGTACGAGTGCATGCACGAGATAACTGCGAAAGCGAAAGAATCCGGAGGCGAAATTCTGCAATACCATGGCAAATGGCCGTTTTATCGGATGTGGGGAATGCAAGAACCGGCGAGTGTGCTGTTTAGCGCACTGAATGGATACATGCACTATCAATATATAAGCGTATTTAGGCGACAGGTTGCTGATGGATATTACATGAAGAAGTTTTACGTTGCGTATTGTTGTGTTGGAGTGAATGCGTGGATATGGTCGGTTATTTATCATTCGAGAGATTTCGTGTTTACAGAGAGGATGGACTATTTTTCAGCTGGGTTTGCAGTGTTGTATTCTCTCTATACGACGGCTCTACGTGTATTTCACATACGAAAGACTTTCCCCTTAGCGTCATGGACGTTTATATGTCTTGTTGCATACACTTTACACGTATCATATCTGTTATCGGGTACTTTTGACTACACATATAATATGACAGCTAATGTAGTAGTTGCGTCGATTAATAATGCTATATGGTTGTATTGGACTATATTACATTTGAACAAGAGACCAGACGATGCATGGAAGCCTGCGGCTGTCGGGGCGTTGTTGTCGTTGTTTTTGTCTCTGGAATTGTTTGATTTTCCTCCCATCTGGGGAGTCTTTGATGCCCATTCACTTTGGCATCTGTCGACTATCCCAATCATCCCATTCTGGTACAATTTCCTGCTTGTGGACGCGGAGAGGGAAGATCATAGAGAGAGAAAAGGAAAGAAAACTATGAAATAGCTTTGAACTGTTATCGATACGTGTAAGGAGAGTGGAGGGAGTGGGGATAGAGATCTCGATAAATGTTAATATGTCTATAAACAAAGAATAAATGTAAATGGAAAAAATAATTATTAAATAATAAATTAATTAATTAATTAATTGTACAATGATTATTAATTAAAAGTCGCTTTTTTGTGGAATAGCGCTTTGCGAGCTAACCAGAAATAGAGACGTTATGCATAACAAACAGACCTTGCAGCAGCAAATTAAACTTTCCGAGAGCTTTATTAAAAAGGGGAAACTCTAAATCACGTTGAGCATATTGCGACTCATAAAACGTAGTAGAAAAGTTTGATGAGTCGCCGTACAACACATTTGCGAGCTTTGAGAATCAGGGTATAACGAGATTTTATTAAAGTCTATATTTGGACCCACTTCGACGTGTTCTCTCGTAGATTTCACAACATTGCATTGGGGCTGTTTGGCTCGGTCATTCGGTTATAACACAAGACATTTGTTTAAAAGCCTTGAACATGTCGTTATTGTCCAATCCAGGTATCGGACTCCAATTGCTGCCCAACGCAGAGATGGTAGATTCGAGACAGTACACGTAAGTCCAGCACTGCATCAATTTTCTCCTCCATGTTGAAGACAAGAGGCCCATATATAATTTGCTGGTGGTGCAGGCATCACAAATGTCGGTGGTATACGTGATGCACCTGGCGCACTTGGCGGAACTAAATAAGCATCCCATTGACGCCTGCCATGAAATTAAATAGAATAAGAACAATCAGTAAATAACACCAATACAAATTGACGCAAAATCTCTAATGCGTTGTTCTGCAGTAATGACCATTCAATCTTGGATAAATCGTTTCTTTTTCGTTAAACACATCTGTTTTGACTCACCTTACCGCTACCAAGCAGTCAATCTCCATTTCTGCCTGATGCCAATATTCGTAACACAAATCTCTCTCCCGTTCTTGCTTTTTCATTCCCTCTTCAATTCCTTCCTCGCGCTTATTCTGTACCGCTTGCAAATGCTCTTTATCAAGACGCTCTTGTTCAATCTTCATTGCATTGGAAAGTGATGCAACGCGGGAGAAGAATTCGTTATCTTCCTCCGGGAAGAAGTGACCTATCCCCCCGAAAAAAGCAGCCGATTAGAAAACGATAGATTTTTCGGTAGGGTAACATCTCATGTCGTAATACTACCACGAGGGCAGCACTCACCTTCACGTTTAAGTCGTTCTCGTCGTATGTCACGGAGTTTCCCTACTTTTTCAAGGAGCAGCGTCAACTCTTTGTGCCGTAACTTTTTCTGATCGGCAGCTTCAACGCGCTTAATGGCTTCGTTTCTTCGCGCTTGTTCCTGATATAATACCCCAAGTTAGATAATTAATCAATTTAATAGATTCCTCTTGTTCTCTCCCCCCAACTGATCCCTATTAAAAAAAACATACGCGCTTCGAAGCCAACTCTTTGGCAATCCATTCTGTCCGCCATTCGTCTATTAATTTGTGAAGAGTTTCACGTCGTCTTTGACGTTCGTCACGAACGGATTGGAGGCGCTTTACATGGCGAGTGCGCCATTTCTGATTGTTGCAAGTACAAAATAAATGTATACCACATTATATCATTTGAAAATAATAGATTCGCCAATGCGAATGTACCTTGTGTCTTCGAATCTTGGATAATTTTTCTTTGAGACGGTTTATAAAAAAAGGATCGGACAATTCCGACATGAGCGTCTTCAACTCGTTCTACATAGAGATGAAAACGTCAATCCAATGTAACCCGTTATTCGGAAATTCCCACTTCCCCAAACTATCTTTAACCTTGAGTTTCTCGATCACCGCAATTCGTTTGCTCCATTCTTCTTCTTTTTCTTCACCCTCCCTCTCATTCTGTAACTCTTGTGCTTTTCTCTTCAGCTCACTCAACAGCTCAGGTGCACGAAGGTATTTCCGTCGAATTGTCGAGAGAGTTGGCAAACGTTGAGGCGGAGAGTATTTCCGTTGCCTGAGCCAGGATCGGAGCCATAGGTTATCTACCGATGGTGAGGGAAGTCTGGAATGGCCATCGACACCAGGTGGCTGAAGGGTGGATTGATTGATACTAGGATATGTGTAGTGGGAGTTGTGATATAAAGCCTGTTGTGCGTAAGGATCCATTGTGAATTTGGGTTCTGCGATCATCCTTATTTGGGCACAGTATAACAAGCAGTTCACATCCGTAGATTCTATACGCACAAAACTGAAGAACGAGAGAAAGGCAAGTCGGCAATAAGTAGACATTAAGTTAGAGTATAAGACTGATTACATATTATGTCACTCTAATGCAGGCTTGTACAAAGCCGATTCGCTTTCAGAATGCATCCGTTAATTTGGCTAATCGTGAAATTCTTCCTAGTCTTTCTCCCGTCAGCATAAAAGGTAATTGCAGTATATGTGTGTGTGTCGCGCGTGCAGTTGAACTAAACCATTTTCTTGTAGGGACGCATGGGAGAACTGTATGAAAGCATTGTGCTATTTCTATTGCTTCTGATTTTTATTCAACGTCTCAGCGCCGAATCACCGATTTTCGGGTAAGTATGTAAAACGTAAGTGACATTATCAGCGTCAGTTTGTCTAATGCTTTGCTTGTTACGTATACATAGATACGTCCTTGGATGTCGAACGAGATAATAGTTGGTTACGTTGACGGTAGTGTCAGGTAAGAGCAATCAAGCGACTGGTATATTATGATAATGGGCTTTGCTTTACACTCTTGGTCGTATTCCAGATTATTTCGATATAATAACTCTAAAAAATCTATAGACGATACCATCTCGATATATCCTAGTAATTCGTCAGAGGTAAAAGTCTGCATGTATCATTGATCGCGATAACCGGTTATTATATTGACAATCGAATCGCCCATTTTACCCGAATAAGGTTTCCTCAGTGAGAACAGGACCAAACGATTGTTTTGCGTACGTTTTGCTGAATTTTTTTTTTTTTACTTTTGCAAGACACGTATAATACGCCAGTCGAATCTTGGAATGATAATTTGAATCATTTGCTCACTTTTTGCTATTACCACTGTTAACAGTTTCACGTTGCTAGGGAATGCAGCCGATGCAGGGTCCCTTTACGTTGGGCATGGCGCTATGCCAGTAGGTTGGTTATCTATATTTTACAAGATTTATCAATTCTCGGCATGCAAAACCACTTACCGTGTTTGTATACAAACAGTATACCAGGTTCCGCTTAATCGAAGAACGTCTATTTGGACTTCATCAATGTCTCATAACACGTCATTGATAGCACTGGGTAACGAATTGGCGCAGAATTAATTGGTCTTTCTTTCACGTCATATGTGTCCTGACTGCTTGTTTTTTAAGGCAGTTCGCGTAGCGTGATTGTTGTTAGTGGATTAGATGATGGGAATGCTCAGAACCTAATGGATATTAAGACATCTAGTGATGTCTTTGTCACTCATGCCGATTACAACGAGGTAGTATGCTTAGATAGTGTATTTGTAATAGTATTCAGATCGCTAACACTATGTGATTATCCAAGTCTTCAAGCATATTATACGGCTGTAGAGACGGCTTAGTCAGACTGTTTGACTTGCGGAGCAGGCGATCGCGCTGTGGATTTAAATTTCATCTATCGTCCTCCGTGTGTCATATTGAACAAATTGGATCTTGGTATCTGTTGACTAGTGCGATGAATGGATCTGTACCTGGTTGGCCGCTTTTTTTTGTTGCGAATCAGATGACAACACTCACCCTACAAATATCACTTTATAGCTTGAGTTGTGGGATCCTCGATATATAAGTATCCCCGTTATTAAGTTCAATGATCATGTAAATGAACACATGCATCGGTTTAGCCGTAAATCAGAACGAATCCATTTTTGCAATTGGTAGGACGTTTCTCTGTATCAAGTAAATTTGTTCACCGACCGTTGATAACAATAATCCAATTGAATTTTTTCTTATGATTGAGCTGGTCAAGACAAATGCATTCGGTTTTACTCCCCACTCAAAAGTCAACCCGTAAAGAACGAGATCGGTCCTTTTACTGACGTTGTCTCTGATATTCAATTTAATTGTAATATAAATTTTCGCTTACAGCCAGATTGTGATCAAGATGGCAATAGCTCCACAGTAGACGTTAATGAAGATTTATCACGGTAGGCGTTGTTTTGGTTCTGAACTTCAGTGGTGGATGGCAAAATAAACAGGATATAGGCGTATAAGCCTACCAACGTTCGGCAAACGTGTGTGTAATAAATTCCCTTATTGCTCACAAGTGTATCTCCAAACGTAATTGTTCATAGGATCTTTAATTCTGTTGGTATATGATCAGTTGTAATAAAGAAGATAGAAATCAAAATTTAACATAACCTGTCAACTGAGGTCATAATACTTGGGATGATATCGACTCGGACAATTATCATTGCAACTTTCAAAATTAATTGATTGTGTGTGTAGTCAATCTGACAATAGTAATAGCCGGGTTTTAGAACGCAAACACTTCCTTCCTTTTTGACAGCGTTTGCTTCGTTTTTTATTACAAGTGCCATTCATTCTAAACATATGAGTAGATGTAAAAGTGAATTATTATAAACGTACAATTGCTCAATCTACTAAAAACGTTCTTCAGTTTGCAACCATTGTGATGTTCGTTCTGCTACGACACGCACGGATATCTTGGAGCATTGGCTAAACTTCCATAGTGCACATGGCATGGCCTTACCGCAACTGATCGAGATCTAAAGGATTTTATCGTGAGATAATTCGACCAAAAAATAAAGAATGTGATTTTCCTTATCATTATTGGTCATCCAAGGCTAATACAAAACCAGGAAGGATTATAAAGTGATTCGACGGTTTGAAGTATGCTAAACAATATATTCTGTGAGAAGAGGGATAAAAGTGGAAGATTTAGCGTTATATGATACGAACTTTGTGATTCTGGAAAGTATTCGCATACCAAACCCGAAGTATCGGAAGCGTTTTGATAAACACCATCGCGGAAACTCTTCCATTGAGACGTTGAATTCTGTCATTTTTCGTTTTCACTTAACGTCCAACAGGAAGCCTATCATGTTTGACAAAAAGACTATCTGGAAAATCCAAAATAAACAATCTATTAGCGAGAGTAAGTTAAAGACAGAACAACTCAATAGCTCGAAATCATCTTCACTGCTCATCGTTCGTTGCATAGTACAATTATTTCTTCGATCGAACCCAAAAACCCGGGAAATTGATACGTTACTTGAACAAGCTCAATCTCAAACCACAAATTTGAAGACATATGCCATGTAAGGTTAGCTATTCCATCTTCCTGTGTATGATTTCCTGTCATGGCAAAAGTCATTGGCTACCGGATATGATCATCGCAAAAGGATCGTTGCATTATATCCTATTAAAGCGATCGAAGCGACAAGCATAATAGATCGAGAAAAGACACAAGACACAAGATACAACGTAAAAATACGGAAGGTTAACTTACTTGTAGTTTGATTATCGTAAAAAAATACTGATTGCAGTAGCAATAACACATATAGCCGTAACAACAACCGTTAAAGTGTATAAAACTTGTTTCCAAGATTTTATATAATAGAGCTATAATGCACTAAGCTACTTTGCGTCCAAGTTTTTTGCCGTAACTACCGACGTTTGCCTCTTCAAGCGTAGCAGAGGTAATATGGACTTGAAACGAAGAGTTTTGTTATAAAACAACACCTAAGCAAATGTAAAAACATATAGAAACAAGTATATCATTCAAGAGCGGTAGGAGCAAGAGTAGACTCTCTTATGAGAGACTTTCTAAAGGACTATAAGCTATACTCTCGAGAAAATATAAGCAAACGCACTAATAACTCGCAGCAATTGCTAAATTAAGAAAAAAAATTTTTGAATTGTTTTTAGTTTATACAATATAAATAACAATAATGAATAACTTTTTAAGGGGCAAAGGACAACAATCTGGATATTCAAGTGGTGTAAGAGTAAAGAAACCACTATATGGTAGCACTCTTTAGAAAGGCAAATCATGTCCATTTTGTCAAGACAAGCTTTCAGACTTGTGTGTTTTAGACTTGAGTAAAATAGGAAAGCGTCTGTGAGAACCGTCTGCCGTACGCTAAACAAAAGTAAGCGCTCGTCCTCGATACGACGGTAAACTGTCGCTTTGATAGGTTCGCCCGTGCTGCGGCACTCACCTGCGCGGCGTGACACGAGTAGTAAACAAATAAGCACTCGCAGCGGGACACGAGTAAGCTCTCGTCCGCCGCACGCTAAACAAAAGTAAGCGCTCGTCCGCCTGTACGCTAAACAAAACAAAGTAAGCGCTAGTCCGCCTGAGACGGGTAGACACGACTAAGTGCTGCACTTTATCTTCAAGTTGCTTGATAGGCCCAACAATTTCTCATGCTCTACTCATTCGCCGTACTGCTAAACAAAAGTAAGCACTTGTCCGCCTGTACGGGCAGACACGACTAAGCGCTCATTTGCCGTACGCTAAACAAAGTAAGCACTCGTCCGCTTGCGCGGCAAGACACGACTAAGCGCTCGTTTGCCGTACGCTAAAAAGTAAGTACTCGTCCGCCTGCGCGGCGGGACACGAGTAAACACTCGTCCTCGGCATGACACTAAACTGCCACCTTGATTGGGAAGGTAAGCAGAAACTTGGTGGTATTTTGGGGATTGCAATCTCGTTATGTAGAGCATTCGTGGATCTAGTTATCCATTCTCTGCGATGCTGACAATTCGGTCTCATGCTAGTATTTCCCTCTCTCATTATGCGGTAATGCTGATGATTCGGTCTCATACTA